GTTTGGTTACGACCTAAAGCAGAAACACCGATGTATGCACGTAGCGAAAGACGCTTTCCTGTGGCATTCAGTTTCATTTTCGCATCATAAAGTTTGCCAGACAAAGGGTCAATCACACGACCTTTTTCATAGTTATTGGTGCCGTCGACATGCTTTAAGCCTTTAATAATGTCCATACCCAAAATTGGTTTGTTGGTATATGGCGTAGGGCAATTCACGCAAGTTTCTTTTGGTGTATAACCTGGGCGTGGAGTAATTTTTACAATTTTTCCAGTGTAAGTATTATTCGACTCTTTACGAATTTCGATAATGGCTTTTGGCGAGCCTGACTTATCATCAATTTGTTGCCATGTCCCTGTTAAGTCCTGTGCAAATGCTCCCCCGCAAAGCATGGACAATGTTAATCCCGCGATAAAAAACTTACTTTTCATATAAGGTTCTCTATAGTTTCACAAAAAGATATCCAAGACACAGAAAAATAAACAGTTTGCACAAGGCAAACTGTTTTGTGTTTAGATATGAGTTAGGCAGTTGCCTTTAAAAATTGAAAAATCATACACGCTGAGCTGAAACTCTTTTATTCATTGAATTTGAAACAATCAGACTAAGTTTGATGCAATGTATGAGTGACTCAGTGGTGGTCTACAAAATCTAAAATGAATCTATTAAGTGATTGCGTAGACCAAGCCTGTTCAGTAATAAGAACCTAGATTATTCTCGAATCCACGTTTGGCTGCGACCTAGAGCCGATATGCCCACGTATCCTCGCAAGGTTAAGCGTTTGCCATTCGAACTGAGTTTTGCTTTACAGCTATAAATATTACCAGACAGTGGATCAATGATTTTTCCACCCGTGTAATTGGTATCACCGCTGTGTTTCAAACCTTTCATCACATCCATGCCTAAAATAGGCTTATTGGTATACGGCGCAGGGCAATTAATACAAGTTTCTTTTGGTGTATAACCCGGACGAGGCGTTACTTTAACGATCTTAGCGGTATAGGTCCCATTTGATTCTTGGCGAATATCAAGGATGGCTTTTGACGACCCAGTTTTGTCATCAATATTTTTCCAAGTGCCGCTAATATCTTCAGCGAAAGCTGTACTACCCATAACGGTTGTAGCGAATGCGATTGCAAGTGTCAATTTGCTCATGAACAAAATCCTTTTATCATTTAATCAACGACAAACTCATCTTAAGTTGATTTTTTAAACAATACAATTGTTTATGTGAGGAACATATCACATTTTTTGCAAGTATAGAATAAACAACGGTAACCAGATTGCTGTAAATACCGCATTGACAGCCATTCCAAAGGCTGCGTAACGTCCAGCAATACTTCCCCGTTGCCATGCTTGAGCTGTACCGATGGCATGAGCTGCAAGACCTAGCGCTAAGCCCGATGCCCGCTCGTCATTAATGTGTTTGAGAATCAGTGGCGAAAATGCAGCACCAATCACACCGGATAAAATCACGATTAAAATGGCCAGACTCACAGGGGCTTGCAGCAGTGTTGCAATGTTAATTGCGATAGGCGTTGTGACTGCGCGTGTGGCAAATGCCATAATGGTAGGGTCAGACAAATGTAGTAGATAAGCCAGGCCCATCGGCAGTCCGACCGCACTGATACTGGCAAAGACCAAAATGCCCACCACGGCTTTGAGGGGGAGGTCGTCATAGCGCATGGCAGCCAATGGAATAGCCAATGCGACTGTGACATAACCGAGCAGATGGTTAAACACTGGATTTACCTGTGCCATATATTGCTCATACGGAATGTTTAACAACAACAGCAGGGCAATCACAAAGCACATGCCAAAAACAATCACGGGAATTTGTGGCAGTTTTTTGTTGAGTGGCTTTGCCAGTAAATAGGCAACGAGGGTTAGGAAAAAACCGAAAATAATGGGAATCATGTGCACACTCCTAAAGCCATTTCTTAGACATTTTTGCGTAAACCCACAGTGGAATTAGTGTGCTGACAAATAGCACCACCAAAAACATTGGGATTTCACTGCCTAAATGCGTCATCATCAGCAGGGAGCCTGCACTGATAGGTAGAAAAGCAAAGGCACTTTCTTTCATGATTTTATTGTTGGTATCGACCAAACGTGCTGGAATTTTATGAAATTTTCTCCAACCCAAAAGGACGATTAATAAACTAATGAGTCCAATTAAATTGCCCAGTTCAGGATGTCCAAAACGTCCAGTGATCCACACAGCCGCTTCACGAAAGATGATGATCAGGGCAACCGTGCCGATCCATGCTTTCCAATCAACAGTTTTTATCCATTCCATTTTGTTCTGTCATTAACATTTTACTTATCACGTTTTAACCGATTTAGTTTTTGATTTCAAATTCTTCGAGTTCACGATGAAATTGTTTTGCTTTCAAACCTAAAATTTCATCAATCGGTAAATGTGCTTGTTTAATCAGTTGTTCCAGTTTATGTGGTGCAATGTACACTTGTAGGTGAAGATTTCCTTCATCATCATAATTTTCAGATTGAATCACATAAGGCTGGTTTGAGTAGGACATCAAAGCTCTGAATTTGACCCATCAAGCACTCTTGTACCGCTTGGCGTAGTAGATCAAATCCTTCGCCTGTATGTGCTGAGACATAGACACGCTCAGGTACATTGGGTTCAGCGTAAATGATTTTGGCTTGTTCGCCACTTTGATCGATCTTGTTATACACCCGTAGGATTGGAATATCTGCGCCAATTTCTTTGAGCACTTTTTCAACAGCTTCAATTTGTTCCATATGGTCTGGACTGCTCGAGTCAATCACATGCAACAGCAAACTGGCTTCTAATGTTTCCTCTAGCGTCGCTTTAAACGATTCCACTAAAGCATGCGCGAGATTACGCACAAAACCAACCGTGTCGGCTAGGACCAGCGGGCCAATACCATCCCATTCCAAACGTCTTAAGGTTGGATCTAAGGTTGCAAATAACTGATCTGCGGCATAAACATCAGATTTGGCAAGAGTGTTAAACAGGGTTGATTTGCCAGCATTGGTATAACCAACCAAAGAAACGGTTGGAATTGCAGCTTTTTGACGTGCAGCACGCCCTTGGATACGGGTCTGACGGACTTTTTCTAATTTATCTTTAAGTTGTCCAACACGGACACGGAGTAAACGACGGTCAGTTTCGAGTTGCGTTTCACCTGGACCACGGAGTCCAATCCCGCCTTTTTGGCTATCGAGGCTAATGCCTGTACCGACCAGTCGAGAAGACAAGTGATCCAATTGAGCCAATTCGACTTGAAGTTTCCCTTCATGGGTACGGGCACGTTGTGCAAAGATATCTAGAATAAGGCGTGTACGGTCAATGACGCGGCACTTGATAATGCGACTCAGATTACGTTCCTGACTAGGGGTTAGGGCATGGTCAATAATCACCAGTGTGGCTTCAAGTTCCTCAACACGAGCAGCAATTTCTTCTGCTTTGCCTGAACCAATGAAATATTTAGCATCGGGTTTGAATCTTTGAGCGTGAACATGCTCCAGAATTTCTGCACCTGCCGACTTAGCAAGCAAACGAAATTCTTCTGCATCAAGGTCTTCCAGAATATGGATGGCAACACTGACTAAAATGGTTTTTTCGCCACCTTGCTTCTGCTCAAAATATTCCACTAAATTCGATCTCACATTGAAAACTCTAGTGTAGATGAATTTGTTGAGATTGAGCGAAATAGTTATACCGTTGCCTTACATTGAGCGAAATAAGTGAACCAAAAGCAGCAAGGTGCCAAAGTATAAAATACTGAGCCCTATAATAAATTTCAGTGCCTGAACAGGATTTAACGGTGGAGCTGGAGGATTCATTTGATCATTCATATACACACCATGTTTTGGTATTTCGATTGATTTATTTTAATTAATTTGTTTAAACGATTAAAATTGAAAATAATCATCTGGTCCTTCGGTTTTTATGATCAATGCAAGTTGCTCAAGATCAGTATAGAATGAGCCGAAATCAATGATTAAATGTTGAATGAAGCTGTGCCAAGTGAACCGTCTATGCAATCGAATACTGAAATAAAAACAACATCAATAAAAGGTGTCTCTAAGCTTTTTCTGTATGGCAAAAAGCTGGCTTCAGGGCTTGGCGCCGTGTCCGAAGGGTTTTATTTGGTCTATCGACATGGCTTGTATAAAGACATTAACAATCCACAAAATACCCGTTACGTGCAGTATTTCTGTCGTCGACTGTGCAAGGTTTTTAACATTGATGTGCATGTCCACGGGGATATTCCACGTAAGCCTGCACTTTGGGTCAGCAATCATATTTCATGGTTAGATGTCGCGGTTTTAGGCTCAGGCGCACGAGTTTTCTTTTTGGCCAAGGCTGAAATTGAAAAATGGCCTGTGTTTGGCAAATTGGCAAAAAGTGGTGGAACCTTGTTTATTCAACGTGGTTCAGGCGATTCCATCAAAATTCGAGAGCAAATTACAGCGTTTTTAAAACAAGATATTCCTGTGTTGTTTTTCCCGGAAGCGACCACGACCGATGGTTCTAAAGTGAAAAAGGTTCATGGACGTATATTAGGCGCAGCAATTGAGGCCCAGCGTGATGTACAAATTTGTTTGATTTGCTATGTGAATCAACAGGGCGGACTTGACCAAGTCTCGCCGTTTATCGGTAACATTAGTTTTGCCGAGCATGTTAAAAAAGTACTAGAAATGCCACAAGTCACGGCACATTTAGTTGCGCTCCCAGCCATTTGTACCGCAGGACATACGGTTGAGAGTTTAACGGCACTGGTCCAACAAAAAATGGTGCAAGGTTTGGCTGATTTACATCACAAAGTTTTGAAGTCCCAACCCAACATGCAACAAGCTTGAAGGCTTACATAAAGCCTTCAATCGGTAGCCAAGAAACGACTTTGAGACCAGCGCGTTTAAACCAATTCATTTTTGGTTCAGTGGTATAGGTTTTGGTAGAGCCATCTGCTTGTTTGATTTGCCAGTTAATGTTTTTGTTTGCATCTAGGACCAGCTTATAGGCATATTTACTGAGGTTTTGGTCCATGGTGTAGTGTACCGCTTTGGCCAGCGGTGGACTGTTCAGTAAAACCCCAATTTCTGTATTTAAGTTGGCAGAGCGGGGATCAAAATTAAATGAACCAATAAAAACCTGTTTCTCATCAATGGCCATGAGTTTGGCATGCAGACTCGAGCGGCTTAATCCTTTGATGCTGACTTTGGCTTTTTTCGAAATTTCTTCATTGTTTTCGTTTAGGGCTTCGGCCGCAGGCGTGGCTAAAAACTCATAGAGTTGAACACCGCTTTCCAGCAAGTCTTCACGATATTTTCCATAGAAAGCATGTACCAACGGCACATCATTGGCTTTAAATGAGTTGGTCAGTACGCGAACTTGAATGTCACTTTGAGCTAGATTTGCCAGATGTTTTTTGCCTTTACGTTCAGGCACAAAATAGGCCGAAATAATGTCGATGCTTTCCATTGGCTTTTCTAAATGGGTTTGCAACTGGAAGTTTAAATGTTCTTCTTTTTTCGCACGAGACTTGGTTTTGCTTGGTGAGTCTTTCACCACTTCGGCTTTGACCCAATCGAACTGGATACTATCATTTAGCCAGTGTTCAAAGGCCTGAGAACGATTGGCCAGATCCAAATAATTTTGTACGGTCACTTCCTGATAGTGCTGCTCTAACTGGGTTTTTAAACCCTCATAACGCAAGCTGTAATGGTTAGCGTTGACAATTTGACGCACTGGAAAGGCATAGTCGTCATTCCAGTATTCATCGAAGGAATGCACAATTTCATCTGAGGCAGAGCCGACCAACATCACATCAACATCGGAAAATTGATAACTGTCGCTGACGTTATAATATTGATTGCTCATGTTACGCCCACCAATCAACGAAATTTGATTATCAGCAATGAAGCTTTTGTTGTGCATACGACGGTTGATGCGTTTTAGATTTAAGACCATATCCATCGCACGATAGTGACGGAAGCGGTAGGGGTTATACAGTTTGATGTCAATATTGGCGTGTTGGTCGAGCGCCAAATAAATGCCTTCCATTTTCTTGGCATTGTTATCATCGATTAGTAATCGAACCTTCACCCCGCGATCAGCGGCTTTCAAAATAGAATAAAGCGCTAAAGAACCAATACGATCGTTGTCCCAAATATAGTATTGTAGATCTAAGGTCTTTTCTGCCTTATCAATGAGATGGATACGCGCGGCCAATGCTTCGAGTGGATTATAGAGAACATGGAAACCTGTAAGGCCTGGATTTTGTTCACGTAAAGGCAGTACGATTTTGCCTAAACTGGTTTGATCGGTTGGCAAATCAAAGGCATAGACGGGCGTCTGTGGGATCTGTTTGGGTAAGGTGTTACACGCTGGGACAGTCAAAACCATACAGCTCAGCAACAACAGTTTGGCACCTTGCTGAGTCGAAGATGAGCGGAATAAAGTTTGTTTCGCTAAGCCGTGAGGTTTTTCCATCGTCATAAAGTCTATAAATTTGGTTTGAGTATAATTCTGAGCTGTGAAAAGATAAACAGAAGATTATGTGTTCTTGATGAACAATTTGTGAGTAAAAGTCTATGATGAATATACACTCCGTCGTGTTCTATTTTTATATTGCGATGGCCTTGCTTGCGGGGTGGGCGGTGTATCAGGCATGGATCAGTCAAACCAATACGGAGACTATTCATCCGTTTAAAGCCTTTGTGCATTTGTTGGCTTTTTATCTCTCTTATTTACTCATTCCTTTGTTTTTCTTTAGCTTGTATGCAGGTTTTCAGGGCAGGTTATTATTCATGGCATGAAGCTATTTTTGTGTTTTTGGTCAGTGGTGTACTGTGTTATGCACGTTTTATTGAACCGCATTTTGTACATGTCAAAACTACTCAATATCAAATCCAAGAAGATTATAAATTACTCAAACCCGTTCGTATTGCGTTAATTGCCGATCTACACATTGGTCTATTTTCAGGGCATGAGCGACAACTGAAAACCATCGTCAAACGACTGAATGAACAAAAACCTGATTTGGTGGTGGTTGCAGGGGATTGGACATATGAACCTGAAAATACACTGGCAGAAGAATTAGAGGTGTTGCAAGAAATTAATGCCCCAGTCTATTCGGTCAATGGTAATCATGATGAGCAATATCCAGGCCCGCCGATTCAAAATTTGTTAAGACATGCTTTGAAGGTGAATAATGTGATTGATATTGAAGGTCAGATTGTTGAATTTGAAGAGTTTCGTCTGATTGGAGTCGGAGATTTGTGGGCAGGCAAGGCGGATATGCGTTTTATGCCACATTTACCGCAGGACAAACCGTGGGTTATCTTATCGCACAATCCAGACACGGTTGATATGGTACCAGCTTTACCTAGCCGTCCTTTAATGCTTTCAGGTCATACGCATGGTGGTCAAGTTGAGCTGCCATGGCTTACAGATTATGTGATGAAGAAGGTGTCTATATTAGGACACAAAAAAGGCTTGTACCGACATGAACATGCGGATGTGTTTGTCACGGTTGGAACAGGCATGGTGGGTGTGCCGTTTCGTTTTCGTGTACCACCGACGATCGATATTATTGAACTGATTTAAGTTGGGTTTAGAACCAATAAAAAATAAAGCTTAAAACCAAAATGACCACAGCCAAGACGATCCAAAGGTTGTGGTTTTTTGTATGGAGCTCTTGTAGGTCTTGTATTGCATCGAGGTTATTTACTGCTGTGCTATGCGGGCTTTGTGGCTGTTGTTGTGTAAAGCTCCGTCCTTCAGACACAAGGGAGCTGTGGTGTCTTAATTCAGCGGTTGATATGCGTTGTTGTTGATGTCGTTTATGGCGATACATGCTTTTTAGTGCAGCATCATGCCGCTTCGTGAGTTCAGTCACGATCTCTTGTGCATCATCGTATTGAAAAGCGGTATGTGTGGCGATGTATTGAATGGCTTGAATAATTTTATTTTCTTCAACTAATACGATGACATCAAGGAGTTGTTCATTGGTGAGTTGTTGTATTTTTTCATCCATTTTTCGGTCCTATTCATCTGTATCTCTCTCTATTTTTGAAGCAAAACGACAGATTTTAAATATGGTTTTTGTAGCGTTTGTTAACGCATTGGTATAAAAAAACCAGCATCATTGTGCTGGTTTTTAGACATCAAATTCAGGGTTAAATTTGATTATTTACATCATCATTTTTGGTTTCACGGATCATTAAGAACGCACATAATGACAGAAGCGATGCCGCCGTGAGGTAGTAACCTACTGCATGTAAACCATAGGTGGTTGCAAGCTTGGTGGCAATGAGAGGTGCAAATGATGCCCCAAAGATCCCCGCAAGGTTAAAGGTCAGTGCTGAACCTGTATAACGAACGGATATTGGAAAAATTTCAGAGAGCACAGTACCAATTGGTCCATAGGTTAAACCCATGATGGATAAACCAATACACAGGAACAAGAACACAATAAGGGTACTGCCTGATTCCAACATGCTTGAGAATACTAAACCAAATAACGCCGCAGCAATACAGACTGCAATAGAGGTGGTTTTACGACCAAATTTTTCCGCAAAAACCGCAGACAAGGGGATGAATGCAGCAAAGCAGAGGGTTGCGACCAGTTGAAGTTGTAAGAACTGTTCACGGGTGTAACCCAGCTGTTTGGTACCCCATTGTAAAGCAAATACCGTCGTGAGGTAGAACACCACAAAGGTGCAGATGGCTGCAATGGTACCTAAAATCAACATGCCCCAGTGCTTGGTGATCACTTCTTTAAATGGAATGTTAACTTCTTTTTGCTTGTCTAAAACTTTCTGGAATGCAGGAGTTTCATGGAGTTGTAAACGAATCCACAGACCTACAATTACCAATAAAGCACTTGAGATAAAAGGAATACGCCAGCCCCAAGTCATGAACGCTTCTTCAGTCATAAAATGACCCAGCGTTAAGAATGAACCAGTTGCTAAGATAAAGCCAATCGGCGCGCCCAGTTGGGGAAACATGCCATACCAAGCACGCTTACCTTCAGGTGCATTTTCTGTGGCAAGCAATACCGCACCCGACCATTCACCACCTAAGCCGAGTCCTTGACCTAAACGACACAGCGCAAGCAGTAATGGTGCGGCAATTCCAATTTGTGCATAGGTGGGTAATAAGCCGATACACACGGTTGAAAGTCCCATGGTCAGCAAAGCTGCAACCAAGGTCGCCTTTCGGCCGATACGATCACCTAAATGTCCAAAGAGTGCAGCGCCAATCGGGCGTGCAATAAAGGCAATCGCGAAGGTTGCCAAAGACTGAATGGTTGCAGTCATTGGATCGGTACTTGCTGGAAAGAACAGATACGGAAAAATAATGACAGCCGCAGTGGCATAAATATAAAAATCGAAGAATTCGATAGTTGTACCTACCAGACTGGCTGTAAGTACGCGGAATTTTGAGTTTACAGGCTGCTGTTCAGCAACAGCAGTATTTAATGACGCCATGGTAGACCTTACACTTAAAAAATAGTCGAACTGAGTTTTAAAAGCGTCATCTTTTTAAAAAAGGCGTAATTTTTTAAAAAAATACGAATGTTCCTCGGGCAGACTACGGAATTAGGGTTACTAAAAAATGTAGTGTGCGCGGGTTATATCACGTAAAGATAGATGGACAGGAAATGTGATCCTGCACCAATCAATACAAAAATATGCCAGATAGCGTGCGTATATCTTACCTTTTTTAGCGCATAAAACAATGCACCGATGGTATAGGAAAGTCCACCAATGATTAAAAAAGTCAAAGCTGGTTTAGATAAAAAGCGTTGCATATCATCCATTACCAGTACAGCCAGCCAACCCATAAGCAGATAAGCAATCAGTGAAATTTTTTCAAAGCGATGAATGAAAACTAACTTGAATAGTGTACCAATGAGTGCAATCACCCAAAGTGCAATGAGTAGGTAATGGGCTTTTTGTGTGGGCAGTGCGATAGACAAAAATGGAGTGTAGGTGCCTGCAATCAGATAATAAATGGCAGTGTGATCTAATTTTTTATACCAGCCGCGACGCTCTGGAGATTCCGCAAAATGATACAAGCTTGATGCGGCGAACAATAAAAATAGGCTCAAAGCATAGACCCACAGCCCGATCCACTGCGCTGTTTCTAAGTAAGACCCTTTGATAATCAATAAAATACCCGCTATGAGTGCAAGACCTGCTCCAATAGCATGGCTAATAAAATTGATTCTTTCTTCAACTGGATCGTAGTTTACAACAGGGTGAGCGCTCATAAGTCATGTGCATTTTTATAAAATATACAACTGTATCGTAATTCAAATTTGCATTTAGCGTAAGACGCTTTAAAATTTAATCGCAATTCTTTTTTTGGTTTCTATTATGACCGTTTCGGTATCGTCCTCTGCACAAGAGCAGCAATTCCTTCAAGCCTTTCAGCAAGCGCTTGAATCTCAAAGTTTTGATCGGATGATTCTGAGTCAATATCAGGGTGAACTTGAGCAACTCGAGAAGATGACTTTTCGAGTCGTCATGTTGCAAGGACAGCCTGTATTGAGCTGTTTATATCGTCATAAAACCCAAGATGTCACCAAAAATTATTCATTAGACACAGCACTTGATACGGTAACTGCACTTTTGGCGCAGTGTAAACAAGCCAATTTGATGACAACTGAACAAGAGTTGCAACTGAAGAAGAACAAGAAGAAAGCCATGCTGACGCAAAGTAAAAATAAAACGGTAACCAAAGCTGTTGAGCAGCAAGGTCATGACCGTGTCAAACAGCGTTTTGTCGATCAAGACAGTTATTTCTTACAGCCGCTTGGTATTACCGATGCAAAAGCGCACATCATTCCCAGTATGGCGCGTAAGTGGAAGCAGATTAATAAGTTTGTCGAAATTTTCTCAGGGGCACTAAGTCATATTCAGCTGCCTGAACAACTGCGCGTGGTCGATTTTGGATCAGGAAAAGGCTATTTAACTTTTGCTTTATATGATTATTTGCTGAAGCAAGATTTGAACCCTTTTGTGACTGGGGTTGAGCTAAACAGCAAAATGGTGGAATTTTGTCAGGAGGTTGCGAACAAGTCGGATTTTCAGCAACTTGATTTTTTTCAGGGTGATGTTCGGACGTACCAACCTGAACGCCTCGATGTGATGATTGCGCTGCATGCATGTGATGTCGCGACTGACTTTGCGATTCATACCGGCATTCGTTTAAATGCCGAAATGATCATGTGTGCGCCGTGTTGTCATAAAGAATTACGCCCACAGCTGAAAGCTCCGCTCGTGTTGCAACCGATGTTGCAGTTTGGCATTCATGCAGGACAGCAAGCTGAAATGCTGACCGATACTATTCGTGCCTTATTACTCAAAGCCTATGGCTATGAAACCAAAGTGTTTGAGTTTGTAGCACTTGAGCATACCAGCAAGAATAAAATGATTTTGGCAACCAAGCGTAAGGATTATCAAGCGCCCGATGTTGCTGTCTTGGCACAAATTCAAGCCTTGAAAGAGATGTATGGTATTCAAAAGCATTCACTGGAATTGCTGTTGAATAATCAATGGGATCAGCAAGATGTAGGCTGTAAATGCTGATCTGAACATCACTTTTTAGTGCAATGACCAATATAGAGATGATTTATAGGGAAATGAAAATGCCAAGCTTGAGAATTACGCACGGAACATGGGAAGAGTTGCAACATGCTGCGAAAATGATTCGTGAGCAGGTCTTTATTCAAGAGCAAAACATTGCTGCTGAAGATGAATGGGATGAGCAAGATGAAATCGCAGTTCATTTTGTGGTCTATGAACAAGATCAAGCCATCGCCACCGCACGACTTTTGCAAAATCATAGTATTGGTCGTGTTGCAGTTTTGAAGTCACATCGTGGTTTGGGCGTAGGCAAAGTTCTGATGCAGGCGGTGATTGCATATGCTCAACAGCAACAGCGTCCATTTTTAGTCTTATCCTCTCAAGTGCATGCGCAAGCGTTTTATCAGGCTTTGGGCTTTATGCAAGAGGGTGAGGAGTATTTGGATTGTGGCATTCCGCATATCCATATGCGTTTATCATCCATAAAAAAGCCCTGATCTTTCAGGGCTTTTTTATTAGTCACAGCATATTAGTGACCATGTTCAGATGACATTTTCGCGTGTTCATTGGCATTCATACCGTGCTCATCAGCGGTTGCATGTTCTGTGGTATCTTCAGAAGCTGCTTGAGCTCTTGCTTCACGCGCTTCTTTATCCGCTTGTGCTTTGGCCATGGCTTCTTCAGACATTGCAGGCGCATTTTTAAAAGCATGTTGCTGAGAGTTTTGTTGCGTTTGCTGACTTGGCATATAGTCAGGCTCATTGGTGATCGCAAGGTAGAAGATACCTAAGAAAATTCCACTTAAAATGAAAGCAATTATCAGTGCTTTCCAACCCCATGGTGATTTTTCAGGAGAAGTATTGTCAGTCATGTGCAACAGCCCAATTGAATAAAAATAAATCTAAAACTATGTAACTTTATAACACAAAAAACTGCATCGGGCTTGAAAAGAATGCACTAAAATAAGTCAAAATTAGATGCTGAATCAGCAGGTTAATTTTGTTGTGTGCTGAGAGCGCAAAAAAGGGATCTGCCGATCCCTTTTTTAAGGTGGAAGTTTTAGCGAATCTGACCCGATGGCACCGATTCAACCAGACGTTGCGGTGCTTTAAAACGCTCACCATATTTCGCTTCAAGTTCATTGGCACGTTGTACAGCTTGGTCTAAACCATATTGATTTAAAAACTGAATTGCTCCACCTGTCCACGGCGCAAAACCAATCCCAAAGATCGAACCGATATTGGCATCAATCACAGACTCAAGGACATTTTCCTCATAACAACGTAAGGTATCTAGCGATTGTACAAACAAGAAGCGGTCAATCATTTCTTGTTCAGAAATATCTACATCTTGCTTCCAATGGCTCAAACCTTCCCAAAAATGTTTTTTTCCACCTTCAGGATAATCATAGAAACCTGCACCAGCAGCTTTACCTTTACGATCAAAAGTATGAATCATGGTTTGAATCACATCATCTGCACCTGAACGTTGTAAATCTTTACCCTCAGTTTGAAGCGCCTTACGCGTTTCATTGGCAACATGCTCAGAAAGAGTCAATGCGACTTCATCTTGAATAGCCAATGGGCCAACTGGCATACCTGCTTTGAGTGCTGCCATTTCAATACGAGCTGGGTGTACACCTTCATGTAGTAAACGTAAACCTTCCTGAACAAAAGTACCAAATACGCGACTGGTGAAGAAGCCACGGCTATCATTCACAACAATCGGAATTTTACCAATTTGCTGTACATAGTCATACGCCTGCGCCAAAGTTTCAGCAGAAGTATTTTTGCCTTTAATGATTTCAACCAATTGCATTTTATCGACAGGACTAAAGAAATGCAGACCAATAAAGTTTGCTTGATCTTTCGATGCATTTGCCAAACCAGTAATCGGTAATGTCGAAGTATTTGAAGCCATCACACCACCATCAACAAGGAATGCTTCGGCTTCTTGAGTGACTTTCGCTTTGAGTTCTTGATTTTCAAATACTGCTTCAATGATTAAATCACAACCTTTTAAATCTTCCGCAGATGCTGTTGCAGTAATCAAGCTTAAAACCTGATCACGCTTTTCAGCCGTCATACGACCTTGGGAGACTTTTTTATCGAGTAATTTTTGGCTATAGGCTTTACCTTTTTCTGCATTTTCTACAGAAACATCTTTCAGTACAACGGGAACCCCTTTGATTGCTGTAGAGTAAGCAATACCTGCCCCCATCATACCTGCACCAAGTACACCGACTTTGCTTGCTTGCCATTTTGCAACGTCTTTAGGACGACTCGCACCTGCCTTAATTGCATTCATTCCATGCCAAAAAGTACCGATCATGTTTTTTGAAACTTGACCTGTGGCAAGATAAGTAAAGTAACGTGATTCAATAGTCAGCGCTGTATCAACATCGACTTGCGCACCTTCAACCGCAGCCGCCATGATTGCTTCAGGTGCAG